ATAAGGATAATGATATTTCCTCTTGATACAATTAGGATAAAGATGGCTATAAACTTATCGTGGATTTGTTATATTCTTGGACCAAAAGCCCGTTTTACAATCCCTAAGATATACTTAAGATTAGGTTCTAAGAGTTGCAACAAGAGGCTAACAATCTAACCCTAGATCATTAGTAGGCGTTCTCCATCTTTCTATATGATTTCCCTTCTTATCTCTTTTATTTGGAGGCCTATAGTTTTGATTCCTAGCTTCTGTGGAATTATGAAGGTCTATAAGGGTTCTTTAGCATTACTGATTTTCCCTATCACTATGGTTTTCTATGTAGATGGGGTAGAATGTTTAGGTTTGAAGAGTGGATTATCCCTTTCTTCGAAACCATATATGTATCTATATGAGTTCTATAGCTTTTTTTAATGGATTCACTCTAGAAAGCCCGACTTGAACAACTCTTTTAGATAATGTTTCATCCAAATGATTCCTAACTTCCAAAGGTATTTAGTTTGGAGGTTTTATAAACGAGTTTCGGATATGGTGTGATTGAAATTAGTAAGCATAATATTTTCCCCTTTCTTTATTGTATTTTATAAGTGGTTGTTCACATTAATAAGGTTCTAGTTTAAACCCATATGAGTTTGCCTCTTAGAGGTTTTCAAGTTATATAAATCATGCCTTACTCTTATAACTACATTTTCCTTTTCTTTGATGTTAGATTCTATCAAAGTGTACATAGTTTTGATAGTGGTCAACATCAATTCTTTGTAATTGGTTTCTATCGATTCCATTTTTATTTTGTGTTTATCTAATATCTATTGAGTTAAAGCTTGATATTTGACTTCTATCAACTTATATGCCTTTTTATACCAAACTTGAAATTGGTTCAACCTTTCCTCATCTAACCAAAGGATAAGAACATCAACTAGTTTCTCTAGCCTAGTTGATTCTAATCCCTTTTCTTGTAGAACAATTATTGTTGTAATAGGATGACTTTTGTCATCTTCATCCCAAGTTGATGGGACTCTTGTTACTTTTTTTAGTGCATATCTAGAATAGCAATCTCATTCTGGTCTCCAAAAATCTATTTGTTGGTTTTTTTATACTGGCCTCAAGTAAGAGAACTTTGTTTAAAAAAAAAAAAAAGAAGAAGAAGAAGAAGAAGAAGAAGATTAGATAGTATTCTATAAAGCAACCATTTTTTCAAACTCAAAAGCAAATGAAGCTAATTAATTATGCTACATACACTCGCTACTTCTTTTAGTGATGTTTTTGGTGTTTTATCTTAAGGTTAATAACCCGACTTGTTCTTAATAATGATCTAAGTTTTCAATCTATCTTTATATCTTAAAATGACCCAATTATGTCCTTGTTATTTAAGCAAGTCTTCAATTTATCCTTTTGGTCAATTTTTACGGCCAAATAATCTAAAAATATCACATGACCTTTTTCTTTTGAAAATGCCGATCTTAAGTTAACATGTTAAGTTTTCAATCCATCTTTATATAATGAATTGAGTTTTCAATCTATCATTAATGCTAAAGAGTTCATTATATTACTAGCATTTTAAAGTTTATTTATGTACGATATTGAACAAATTAATATAATATTTACTAATATATTAAATCATATATATATATATATATATATATATATATATATATATGAATCACTTACGAAAGTGACTAAATGATATAAATATCATTGATCTGGATTAAAAAAACTATATAATTATAATTTAAATGTTGGTTAATTAGTCGCTTTAGCATGTAATTAAAAACAAATAATTATGTAAATTAAATGATTGCAATCAAAGAAAACATTCTTATTACATGCTTAAGAGACTAGTTAACAATTATTTAAATTATAATTATATAGTTTCTAATTACATAATTATTTTTTTAATTATATGCTTAAGAGACTAATTAAAAATTATTTAAATTATAATTATATAGTTTCTAATTACATAATTATTAGTTTTTTAATTACATGCTTAAGAGGCTAATTAAAAATCATTTCAATTACAATTATATAGTTTCTCATTACATAATCATTAGTTTTTAATTATAGCTTAAGAGACTAATTAACAATTATTTAAATTATAATTATGTATTTTTCTTAATCCAATCAATGATATTTAAATTATAAATATCATTTACGCACGTAATTCACATTTTTTTTTATAGACATGATTTAATATTTAATAAATATTATATCAATTTTTCAATATTATACATAAATAAAATATTATAATGACAATAATATAATATATTTTTTAGTATTAAAAATATGTTAAATAACAATCCCTTGAACCTTACATACTAATATGTACTAATTGTTTTTATATATTTTTAATTAACAAAAAATTCATCATAGTGCAATACATTATTAGAAAAATTATTAACAATAATATACTAGATTTTTTAGCCTTAAGAATATATTAGAGACTTAACTCATTATATAAGGACAGATTAAAAACTTAATATGTTAAACTAAAAGGAGCATTTTATAATAATAATAATAATAATAATAATAATAATATAAAATAAATTGCAAGTCAATTTATATTTTCAAGTGGTTTGGTTAGAAAAAATAGAATGAAAACTTGCATAAATAACAAGAATATAATTACGTTATTTAAAGATATAAGAATATGTTGAAAAATCAACATATTATATAATGACAAATCAAACCATTAACCCTTTATCTTAATATAAAACTAAATTAAATGATAGCAAACCCTTGGAAAGGACTTAAAAAATGCCTAAGCTGATTGGTTTGTGAGTTTGCAAAGATAATTATTCACAACTACAACTATTTTAAACTAATAATTCAAATTTTTAGGCTAATATGCAATCAAAATAACGAGTTCAAACTAAAAGCTGAAAGATTAAACAATTAAAACAACGAGGAATTAGGATTGTAATATTGATAACAATCTAAAAACTATAAACTTGAAATTTTTGACAAAATGTGAACTAGAATTACAATGTTGTAGTCACAATGTTCAATCTAAAAATAAATAAATAAATAACTTACATTCATAGAAAAACGATGAATATTTACATATTGATACTCTATAAATAACATTCTTATAAAAACTGAAGATTATAATCATTAAAAATATAATATGAGAACCAAAAACTAGCTATCATCAACGAATTTGCAAGTTGAGTTATTTATGTGTTGTATTGTGTGTTTTTCCTCCTACCGCAATTAGTATTCATAAGCTTTTTGTTCTTCTATGATTCCTTTTGTAGTGGATTACTTTTTTATGCATTTTACCACATATCTTGTACTACTTCATATTCTTTTCCAATCTTCTTTTCTTACGTTGTAATGTACCATTTTTCTTGCAGCTATTCTATTATTCTTGTATTGTAATATCTCATATTCTTTTTAACTATTTGTATCATGCTTTTATTGATACTAGATTTCTATTACTTTTCTATTAATTGTTTGCTGATTCTTATTTTTTTCACACATTTTCTAATAACTCAATCTTATTAAGAGTACATATCTCATCTCTCTCTAGTCTTTGATATTGCAAAGTTCTTCTTTTACTTCATCTAGATCAAGCTTTTGGACCGTGAGTAAGTGATAGGCTTTAAGCTGGATATGGATTTTGTAGAAATCACTTAAAGAATGGGCTTAAGTGAAGCTGAAAAAAAAAGGTCAAGAAAAGATTCTCTTAGAAAAAAAAAGAAAAAAGCCATTGAAAATTTCTTCATTGAAGAAAAATCCATGGAGTCTTTCGTTCTAATTTATTGGGCCAAAGCTTATATTAAAGTTTGATATAACACCATGTCCCAATATTTTGGTAACTAAAAAGACTTCCGATCTATTGGATGTTAGACTGACTTTTAGTTTGGATCAAAGATTTAAATCTGAATTAGATGTTTATGTAATTGACTATTTATTAGATTGTTATATCCAAATCAAATTTGGGTTTAACAGGTAGCTAGCCCATAAATAAATGAGAATGACACTACTTACAATCTAAGACAAATTGAGAAAGAAACGGTTCAAACTAATATTTGCTTATGGTTGGACAGCAAAGACTACCAGCCCTGCCATCTGACAATATAAATAACATGCTATTTTTATTTTATTTTTTTTATTTTTTGGAACAAATATGCTAATTCATTCTGCCGTTTGTTAAAAAATAAAATAAAAAAATAAAATTCTTTTAGTAATTAATAGTGTGTTTTCCCTTGCTGAATAAAGCCCATTCAACATGCCAAAACAACGGATTTACACAGCTGTGCTGTGTTTATATTAGAGAACAAGTAGAAACAAAACCAATTCAAAATGGGTTCCGCCAATTAGACTATACAATTACGACGGGTTTAGCAACATCAGAGTGCCCGCCCGCCCAGCAGCTCTCTTCTGTTTTGTCCCATAACTTGGACTCTTCTTTTCTTTGGAAAATCCTCCAGTCCCTCTGACTTCTCTAAGGAAATTAACCCCAACTCATGATACCATTGTTCCCTCATCTCCTTTCTAATCATTTTGGATTCATTAGACGGGTAAAGGTAGGAAATCCAGATCGTGCCTGTTGACTGAACTAACAACTTTAATCTACAATCCCCCCACCACGAGCCATTTGTTTGCGGAAAAACAGACCATATATGGAATACAGAACAGCATTTCACTGACAAGTGGTTTAATCCTTTCAGGAATCCATGCATATTAATATAATAAACACAAATGAAATTCAAGTCAGCCAATTGTTCGACAAAGGCTGAACGAGCACAAATGCATGGATAAGCATAGTGGATCGGTGGCGGACATCACAGTCAGCTTTGCAAGACGTGGTTCTCAACTCTTGACAGCATTTGGCGTAAACTGCAACTATATGCTTTTTCCTTGCTCTGTTCAGGTTTTAGGAACAAATACATATTACATAATGTAAATTCTTTTTTTTTTTCTTTCCAAATACACAAACTAGCTTGTAACTCCTAATTAGATTCATTCCACCACGTCTTATAATTTTCCTCTCCTCATCATTATAAAAGCTTAAGCATTTTCAGACGTTCTTCATGTTCAGAATCCAATTTCGCTGGAGTATAAGAGCCATGTAGATCCTCAACTATGTACTCCTACAAAATTTTAGAGCTGTTGAATATTTCTGAATTCTAAAGGGTGCAAATAAATAAACAAAAAAAAAAAAGAAGGCTAAGCCCTTTTAAGATCTTACCATCCTTGCTTCAGACAACCAATGTACATCTGGCTGGAATGAAACAAAAGTGAACAGCAAGGTTTCAAAGCTTTTACCTTTGTAAGCTCCTTCTTAGTGAGGATGTGGTAGTGTCTTTGCCAAATTTTTTGAATGGCCATTGTGGCAGCAAGGAAACCATAAGCAATTCCTAGAATGGCAAAGATGATGACAAAAACCACCACCAGTGCAAAGCACGCCTCCATGGAAGCAGGGAAACAGTCCAAAATTCCCCATCCGTAACAGCAGTTCTGGCAGCCAGCCATCCTTGGATCATTACTATTGAGGGAGGAACAATGTAGTATGAGGCCAAAAAACCCAAGAAGCACAAAGAAGGCCAGTACTCCTGTTACAATTTATTTATGCAAAGCACAAAAAACAATGGTTTAGTAGTGTAGCCAATATCCTACTGAACTGGATATCTAGGGGAAACGGTCACAATAAGTGATATCTTCTGTTTTGCCTTGCAACAAACAGAAGGACACCAAATAACACTGCACCACCCATAAGCCAGTGAGACACAAAAATCACAAAATTTACACAATAAAATCAACTTTAGGTGATTGTTAGCTAAGGAGCAGCATGTCGTTCCAAAATTGGCAACTAAAGCAACCAAATACAAAATGAGAAAAAAGAACATAAAAACCTAATGCCACAACCATCAGTTGCATCCCTCCCCCTCCCCGTCTTTCCTTTTTTGATAAATTAAGAGGTCAAAGAATTAAGAAGGCGAAGGCAGCCAACAGCATTACAATTAGGTTATGAAGTAGTAGCTAGCACCAAAAGGAATCAACAAATGCCCAACTAAAAAGGCCAAAACCAGAAGAAACAAACAGCTTGGCTACCAAAAAACCAAAGATCAAACCCATAGCAGATGACACCAAAAACAGCCCACAAGGCAAGCAAAGCAAAGACTAACAACACATCAACCAGAAAGGTATAACCATAGCAAGAAAAGAGGACGCCATGACAGCAGATACAGCAACAAATGCAACTCAGATCACTCAAAACTTAAAAACCAGAATCAAACTTCAGCAGCAAAAGCAATCAGACTTCTCAACTCAGAGAGTGTATTTCTACTCATAAAATTGGTCCTCCCAATAATATTTCATTTTATAACCTTGGATATCAAATAAAATATAAATGCTTTCAAATTACTGAAATTGATAGATGCTTTTTAAATAGCATTTTAATCAGCAATAGAGATTAATATTAGACATTTAATATTAGCAATAAGTCAGCAGAACTACGCTTGAGCCTCTGAAGTAAGTTGGAGTTAATTGCAAGTTGAATAATGGGGCAAAAAAGCGAACAGAAAAAGAAAACAAATAAACAAACAAACTACTGCTAAAACCATGATTATTACCTATGCAATAATAAAATGGTATAGGATGCTTGGACAGTATACGATCCCATCCATCACTGAACGAATTCCTAAAGGTCCCATCTTTGTCCATAAGGTATGCAAAACCACCCATTGCAGCGATGACCTGAAAGAGAGATTTTCTCAGGTACAAAAATAGTACATATAGATTTTCATTAGGTAGATAGAAGATGCAGCCTAGTGATTTAAGGAAGGGCAGATTTGTAATTTGAGTTCACATTCCTAGAGTGACTGCAGCACAGTAAATTTCCTGCAAGGAGGATATTTGCCAGCTATTTACAAATATAGAGCGCCTTTAATTGGAATGATTTAATTTCTTATTGAGCTTTCTTTTACTAGTTCACTAGTCAAATAGGAATTTTTGTTTCTTATTTACGAGTCCAAGTTAAGATAGCAATAACTCAAGCATATAATTATGCTTGTAGCATTTCAATTTCAGTATGACAGATTTACATATTGAGTAAAGTGAAGGTTTTTGCTAAATTATGAGAGAGTATGAGGTTTTCAGTGTAGCAGCGAGTCCTGAACCTTTTAGTGTGAGGCTAGAAGTTTATTTCTGTTTTTCTTCGATTTCTTTACTTTCAGATCTGTTTTTCAATTCTTAAAGCTAACCTAATAAACAGCCAACTACGAATGTTCCCCTAAAATTGCTATCAGCGGTATCAGAGTCTTGTTTCTCCACAATGTTCTCACATCATGGGAGATCCTACTGAAGAATTTTAACAGAGTATAAGCAGGATGAGTTACTGTGTGAGATTGCACGGTTGATTGATGCTCTAGCAACTCATATGAAAATTCCGCATTGCAAAGGAGCAGGCAGCTACTGAAAGAGTCAAAACAACAGGCAACAACACAAGGACAGACAACTATGCAACCTGACTTGAGTAGATGGCACTTTCAAAAACTCGAACAATAAAGGTCCCAATCATGTTTGCAGCAAGAACAGCCAACTACAAATTGTCCCCTTGAACTTGTCGTGCATGCAAAAAAGCAAGACAGCAAGCAGAAGACCCTAACCCACAAGCATTAAAAGTAGACGAACAATAACAAGAAAAACTAGTGCAGAATGTAGAAAAAGTGTACACAGGAACCGGAATTGCAAAATCTACAATTTGAAGCTTACAAACACCAGCATAAGGAAGGTCAAGAGCATGCTGAAGAAGCAGAAACAAGAGAACAAATGCTGGAAGCTTAGATAAGTTAAATCAGCCACTGAAAATTGAAAATCAGCAGGTTGAAAAGGCAAAACAACATGCTTTTGGTGATGAGAAAACTGAGGGTTTAATTCCCAAAAAGTTGATTAGGGAAGACACAGTATTCCAGGTTGAGAATATTGTCACTAGTGAAAGAGATAAAAAATCAGCCTTCGATCAGCACACTGTGGTGGTGGACCCTCTTGAAAACTTCAACCTTTGCAAATAAAAAGACAGTCGAAAACAAAGGAGAAATCACGGAAGATTGCAGGGTTGAAACAAAGAAAGTTGGACAAGTTCTTCAATCAATTGATTTTGTCATTCCAGGCAAGCTCGACAGCATAAAGGAAAAGTATGTTAAGATGTCATCATTACTGCTTATGATAACCATAAAGGACAAGTTGCACAAATCAAGTGATTCCTATGTAATATTGTGGTAGCAATGTAAGACCTCAAAAACTTTGTACTTGGACACTTCAAAACATTTCTCTTTTTAATGGAAAAAAGAGGAAAAGAAGCAACTTAAGTTATTTACCAGTTTGGAAATCTTCTAACATAAAGTAGGAAAAAAAATTGAAAAATAGAGGGTTGTGATTGCATAAAGTATTATTCAGTACATATAAATAGGAGCAGTAAAGAAGTATTTTATCCAACAAAGAGGAAAGTAAGATTACTCACAGTTTGTACAGCCAAAAATACAATGACAACATCCCTTGTAACAAAAAGTCTGAATTTCATTTTGCGCCAAGAGTTGTCTTCGAAAGAAGCAATTCGGAGATGAAATTGAGCTTTACAAGTTGTGCAATGAGAGAAAGCAAATCCTTCCTATTTAGATTAGATTTTCATTCATCGTCAACTAAATATCAACATCCGATAACTATAGAAATTGTAGCATTAATGCAAAACCCACAAAAAAATTTGTAATAGCCGTGGTCAAATTACTTTACCTTAACGGAGCGCCAATGATCAAGGCATGAACGATGAACAAACTGCTGGGTTCCTTTGCACATGCATGGAGATATCAATTCGTCACCTATAAAATCAAAATCAAGCAAACACGATTCATGAATTCCTTTTATTGTTATCTTTTCTTTTAAATCATGAAATCATAATAATAATAATTTAGCAGAAAGAAATGTTACCTGGTTCGCAATCGGTTTCGAGACAAATACGACAGCAAGGAACAGAAACGTTTTCAATGTCATCATCGTTAATGATAATTTCTTGACTGGAACTTGCATCAGCCTGGTTCGGAAGCAGAGGATCAGAATCACTGTGACTCTCTGCGCTCCTCCCTAATTCTATTTGCTGCTGCTGCAGCACTTCATCCCCTTTCATCGACCCAAACCCTAAACGAAGATAACGATAAACCTAAATTGATTGTCTACTTGCCGATTTAAACTATTCGAATGAAATTGTGGAGGCACGTTTTATTATTTGACTTGGATTTATTCAAACCAAATAATACCTAGTTTTTTTTTTTTTGGGTGTTTTCAGAACTGTTGTGTTCCTGAACGAAGGCCTGGCGACGAAAAGCATAAAAGGAAAACTATTATCGATCACACCATCAATGATGGGTTTTACTCACGCATCTTATTACAGTTTTACTTTTAACAACTTGACTACGTTAAAACCCACGCTAAATCATGTTTCAATCGTCCTATATTACATTCGAATTTTATTCAAAAAGAAATCTATTTTCTGTTATATCAAAATTTAATAGAGCTTCAGCCCAATAAATTAAAAGGAAAAATCAATTGGCTTTTCTTCAAAGGATTCTTTTTTTTTTTCTTTTCTTTTAACCTTCTTTTATATTAATTTCACTTAAACTCATTTTCTTAGAGGTGGGTAAACCATTTTTCAGTTCCATTTCGAGAAATATAGTTTGGTTTTTTATTAACTAAACTACCAAATACAAAAACCAAACTCAAAATAAATTGAAATTCGATATTTCAAATTAAAAACCAAAATTTCGATGTTGATTTTTAGTTTTTTTTGGTTTAAACTGAAAAACTAATATATCAAGATATCCGATGATAAGTTATTTAAATTGATTTTAGTGCAATTACATGTATGTTGATTTCATCCATTTCAGGCCTGCAAATGGAGGAAGAAACAAATCATGTACCGCAAAAGGTTGATAATTAAATAAAAAAGCATAGAGAAGCATATTATTCCATAAGATATTATTATTGTTATTATTATTAGGTATCAACTCCATAAACTGACTTGCACACGACAAACTCCAAATCATAAAATTATTTTGAAGATAATAAATATCTATTTTGATGTAGAAGCTACAAAGGACACTGGAAAATCCCGAAAGCAAAAATAGGAAAAAAAAAAAAGGTTTATATTAAAGATATGGCTAAAATATGTTAGTATATATAAATTGGAATATAAATAACCCTAATTCACACCAAATTAAGTTTTAAATATCAATTAATTAACAAATTGGAATATAAATAAAATTAAAAACCAACAAATTAATTAAAATTAACCTAATTAATGTAACTCTAATTCAAACCTAATTAAATTTTAAATAACAAATAATTAACAAATTACAATATAAATAAAATTAATAAATTAATAAAAATTAATCTAATTAATTTTTCATAATTCAAAATTAACCTAAGTAAATTAATTCTAAATCAAACCTAATTAGATTCTAAATGAAAATTAATTAATAAATTGAAATATAAATAAAATATAAAATGAAAAAACTTATTCAAAATTAACCTAATGAATTTAACTCTAATTCAAATTAACCTAATTAAATCAACCCTATTGCAAACCTAATTAAATTTTAAATAATAATTAATTAAAAAAATTAGAATATAAATAAAATTAAAAATCAACAAATTAATTAAAATTAACCTAACTAATTTAATCCTAATTCAAATTTACATAATTAAATTAACCCTAATGAAATTAACCTAATTCAACCCTAATTAAAATTTAAATAATAATTAATTAACAAATTGGAGTATAAATACAATTAATAAATTAGAAAATTAATTAAAATTAACCAACTTAATTTAACCGTAACTCAAATTAACCTAATTAAATTAACTCTAATTGAAACCTAATTAAATTTTAAATAACAAATGATTAACAATTTGCAATATAAATAAAATTAAAAATATCCAATCAATAAAAATTAACCTAATTAATTTAATCCTAACTCAAATTAAACTAATTAAATTAACCCTAACTAAAACCTAATTAAATTTTAAATAACAAATAATTAACAATTTGCAATATAAATAAAATTAAAAAATCCAATTAATAAAAATTAACCTAATTAATTTAATCCTAGCTCGAATTAAACTAATTAAATTAACACTAATTCAAACCTAATTAAGTTTTTTTTTAATTTAATTAACAAATTAACTTAAGAATTGATAGAAATAAAAAATTAACAAATCAATCAACCAATTAATAATTAAATATAAATAAAATTAAAAATCAACCAATTAATCAAAATTAAACTAACAATTAACAAAAATAACAAATTGCTAGGAAAGAGAGAGAGAAAGAGAGAACTTACCTTTAGGGGACGAAACATAGGAGAAAAAAAGAAAATAGGATATTTGCGGCTTTTTAGGGATAAAAGAGTTTGTAATAGGTGGGGTGATGGTGTGTCAAACCGCCTCAAATTTATATATGTATCTTATTCCTCACTAGACCCAATCACCAAACTATAGTTAGGGCAAGTCAAGGTCTATCCCATAGAGATATAGTTCAATCAATGTCCTTTATCGTCCGATTATTTTAAAGTAAAGTAAAAGAAAATGGGGCTTTTAGTTTATTGAGAGTAGTAAAGGTAAACACAATTAAATAGAGAGATGACAATAATAATGAAAGCCTTGGTTGCAAGTGGGTCTCTAATTTTAGTTCAATCATTGATCATCGATTCATATATTAATTCATTCTTATTATGAATAACTACCATAAGACAACAATATGTAAATTATCCCCGATATTTCTTTAGTGATTCGTTAAAAAAATAGATGCTTATTTGATTAATCCATAACTATTAAATAACCTAATAGATGCTACATATATTTAATCCAATAGCATTATTAATTGATAGAAAGATAGGTGGAGCTAAACAACTCTTCTAGGCATTAGAAGAATTTAATCTAGTTTTATGTTTTTCAAGGGATTAAACATTAACCCTTAGTTGTTACCACAAACAAGTTTAGAGAAGTAATTACAAACTTGAATACTTAGCTAGTGATACATTATAATGATTAACTAACTAGTATGCACTCTAATCAATCAACCATACAATCATATTCCAATAACATAGAAAAATATAAAATACTAAAACAAAAATAGGATTACAAATAAAATTCGTTTAGATCTTACAACGAATTACACCAAAATTTTTAACTTTCCCTTTAACTAAGAAAGTTTCTTAGTGATACATAGTTTACTTACATGAGAGAATTTCTATCTATGGTGGCTACAAGAATGGGAGAATCCCAAGAATGAATCCTAACTTCTCTATTTATAGCCAAAAGTAGGTTTATAACATATACATGGTAGTCTTACATGGACATACGATTTATTTGGTCGAGGCACATAGCTTGCTCTTTGGTTTCACATGGTTTAGGGCCTTGGAAAGCCGATGGCATATGGCTTGTTGGATTGAGGAGCATGAACATGCCTAATTTTCTCTTCACCCTGTGTCCTTTAGTTTTTACTCGTATGTCATTTCTTTCTCCTCGAAAGACATCCTAGCCTTAACACATACATATACGGACGTGTCACTTCTCTTACTTAAGCCATGTTCATTGCTACTTGCTCATGTGTTTTTTTTTTTTTTTAGCGTCCATATAGTTTTCTTCTTTGTTTCACATAGCCAATAGCTTTTTCCTCTTGTAGGTCACATGACCAGTGTGACTTCTTTGCTTCTTTGGTAGCTTTGGCTTCTTATGCACTTTGGTTTAGATATATTCACTCTGGTTTGTCATGTTTCCTACAAAAAATCAAAATCGTTAACTTGTTCCTATTTACCTTAATATAATACAATAAGCACTAGTAAATTTAATGTAAAAGGATATAAAAGTTGTGTAAATTATACACCAATTAAATGCCTTCACACTTAAACTTTGCTAGTCCTTGATCAAAACAAATAAAACAAAAACCTAAATTACTTTTGTAAGAATCATGATTGCATTTAGTATATGCAATAATCCTTTAAACCACCCTAGGTTACCCTTAGTGGATAATTTGAGTCTCATAGGGGTTTGCAAAAGACATGCCTTATAATATCCATGACCTAAAACCCTCTTAGAATATAAATGTATTGCATAGACATTTTAGTTAATTAATAAAAATTATATTTCTTAAATGTGTGAATGAAGTTCAAACTTTAATTAAGGATTAAGTAAACACAATTATGATTGAAATGAAGTATCAATAAAATAAGGAAATATTGAGTTAGAGATTGGTAATATTAATTGTTATGGTTATATTTTGACATAGGACTTAATTATAAAGATTAAAAGTTTAGGTCTTTGATTGAGATGATTACAAAACCTAAGGACTGGAATTATCATTGGAATAGGCCTAGGATAAGGCTAAATTGATAAAATTATGAAGTTACGAGACTAAAATTGTAGGACCAAATTACAAGAATTAGAAGTTTAAGAACTAAAATGTAAAATATTAATCTTGTGAGGGACCTATTAATTGAACTTAAGGGATAATTTTTAGCTAGAGAAATCTAAAAATTTTAGAGAAAGAGAGATGGAAAAATCGATTAAGGAGGAAAGAAAGACGAGAATATTTAGGGCAAAAAGAAGAAGAAAAGATGAGGAAGAAGAAGAAAAATCAAGGTACAATTAATAACTAAACTCAAGATTAATCCAAGTATGATATGTTTGGCTTAATCTTAAGGAAAAACCCTAGTTATAAGTATGAAGGAGGAAGCGAAGGAAAGGTTACATAACTAAAACTTTTAAGTAGCCCTAAAGGAGAGGAAACCAACCAACTACCAATTCCAAAACCATCTTAGTTAGTTTAGGAACACTTTAAATCAACCTCCAAACTAGCTTAGAGGATAAAGCAAGGAGGAAGAAAGATTTCTCATCTTGGTTGAAATCTTTAGAGAAGAGGAAAAAGAGGGAACTAAGAAAGAAAAAGAGGAAGAGAGACCAAGCTCTAAGTGAGGTAAGTGTAATTTCTCACTACACCATAAGAAATTAATGATTAATGTGTGATTGGTGTTAATTTAAAATCTATTTGATTGAGATTTAATGAATGTGTTATTGAGAATTGCCTTATGATGATTGTATTAAAACAAATTGATAATGTATATGAATTAATGATATGGAAATTATGAAGTTAGAACGATTGAATTGAATGAAATCATGTGAATTAATGTTGTCCTTGTTCTAAGAACAAGGTGGATGGATAACTTCGAAGCATATATAAATTGGTGGTTCTATTATTTAATGCCTACATAATGTTTGATGAAATGTCTTAGAGATATTTAAGAGGTTAAATTGATGGAATTGAAATTTGGTCACCTTGTGGTTAATTTTGGCTAAGTAAGAGTTTTGATTAATTAGTAGAGGGA